ATGGCATGCAGAAATTATAAAAAATTAAAAATATGAAACCGTAATTTACGAAATAAAGAACAGTTATGATTTAAAGGGTATCAAAATTTACAAAAAAAAAAAAAAGCTTAATATTTATTTGTTTACTTTATTAACATTTCTTTCAATGTAAGTTGTTTAAGTTGCTTCGTTCGTTTTTATGTTATAATACATTCTCTTTAATTCTATAAACAGACATAATTTCTTGTTCAGTTACAAAGTTCCGCTGTTCAAGTGATATAATTGCTGTGTCGAGAATACCGACTAATTTGTCAATCGAAATTTTTTCGTTTTCAATAACCTCTGTCAATTTCTTCGCTATCGGAAGCGAATTATAATGACGAGACATTTGATTTAAATCATATCAAAGACGAGATGAAATACTACATTGAGTAAGCAATTATAAGCCAAATAAAATAAAAACATCTGCCCTTAAGATAAGGATAGTGTTGACAGATCAACTTCCAATTCAATGCTCGCCGCCGCAGCGTTAAAGATAAACAAAGTTTAGATAAACTTTATCCATTTTTTGCAGCAATTCCACTTTTTGTTTAATGGACTCCGAAAGATACTTTCGCTTTGTATATCCTTTACATATTAGTAAATATATATCGGAAATTCTATTTGACATAATCGAAAGTTCAAGTTTATTTACTTTTATAAAATTGCTCTAAAGTCTGCCAAAAAATAATAATCCGGATCCAATTCGAAGATTAAGGAAAACAACGCAATTTGCAACATTAACTGAAATAGATAATTAGATAATTTTAGCTTAGCTTATCCCGTCCGTTATACATTAAATGCGCATTCGTAAACGTATTTTGCGCACGCGCACACGCAAATTAGCAGCGGTAAAGGTCTTACGCGCATGCGTCAACGCGACGCATGCGCAGAAAGTTTGTAGCTTTGAGGTCCGGATTATGGGTGTCCGAATTAACGACTTTTGACTGTATAATACATTAAAAGAAATTTAAAAATTGGCTAATTGATACATTTTAAAGAAAGATTTATAAAGGGATTTATAAAGAAGATAAATGCTTAGTTATTATGATCTTTGAAAATCATTAATTGTTATAAGCAACAGATTTTTTTTTTTTTTTTTTTTTTTTTTTTTTTTTTTTGTGAATAGATGTAGTAGAACATAAACTAACATTTAATAATTTAAAAAGCATTATACTTTTTGCTTTGCTAATGAAACTGAAAATTTATCTTATTGTATGGATGGATCTGCATCACATTAACATTCTGAATTATTTGATAATTCATGAATATTTGATCTGATAATAGATTTCTACTCAAGTGCTTTTTAGGATTTTTGAAATGGGGTCATAATCACCCTTGCTCTATTTAAACCTGCGAAATTCGAACTATTGTCTGAATATATGACTTCAAATCAACCTCTTTATGAAGTAAAGTGTCTAAATACATCCTTAAAGCTGATGAAGCTCAAAGAAGTGTTTAATTCAGAGTGAACAGCCCTAAAAACCATACACAGGAAAATTACTATCCAAAACATTAAATTCTCTTTGAAGAAACCTGAATTGGCGGAATCGACTCTTGTCACTTGGAATGTTTTCACCATTTTTGTAATGTTCTCAGGCAAGGGAGGAACAACTATTTCTAAGGCCTTAACTAGGCATCTCTGGTCTTAACTATCTCTGGCATGTCACACATCCTTTTTGTACTTTTTAAAATCCCAAACTCTTTCTCTCAGAAGCATAAAAGTGTTTCTGTTCTAGCATGTTTATACTTTAAGTGTAATTACTCATATTTTCACAATTATATTTTTCAGAAGTAAGACTACAGGGAATGTGTATTACTGTAAATCTGCAAAATCTAAAACTCAAGATTTCATACTCAAAATTTCATTTTCATCAACAAAAACCTGAAGATTTTTCAGATGAATCTTTTTTCATTCTTCATCAAAAGCATCTCTCTGTATAAGGGAAAATAAAGTTTTTTTCTGCATTCTTGAATTCTTCAATGGATATATGATCCTGACAGTTTTTATTTTTCTGCTAAGTGTGTCAAAATCGTAACATCCAAGCAATAGTCTGTGCAATTCATAGAATATTTAAAAAAATCTGGGCGCAAGATTAGCTGGACTGGTTTCAACCACTGACTGCTTCACCGAATCACCGAGTTTGACTTTGTTCTCTATCGATTTCTTCCATATCAGAATCAGGAAGGTATTGCTTCTGGAGGTTTCTTCAGAAATCCAGGTCCTATCTGCCACTGAGATTTTAGGATAGCATCCTCTTAACAATAAATCACAAGGGCTTAAGGTGACTGCTATGTGTTTCCAACATCCTGTTTTGCAGTAATCTTGAATTTTTTTTTTTTTTTTTTTTTTTTTTTTACACACACAGACTAATTATTTCATTTCTTTAATCATATCAAAACCACTGAAGAATCTGACCAGGAATAATCTTTCTGGCTTGTATTATTTCAGCTTCTAATAGCAGTGTGATATAACCTTACATTCAGAAATGCGGCTATCAATTCCAATGCAAGAGCACTAACTGAAATTTTGCTAACACTCAAGAGAATTTCATTTTCTTCTATTTTGAAAAATATACAGGCACCATATATTAATTTCTTTGCATCACAGAATATGTTTAAGAAACTTTTAGAATTAATGGAAATTCATCTTGGGTTTCGGCAGTCATTTAAACATGTATTTTTGTAGACCATTTACTTAATATCTTCAGGTAGATCCTCGTTCCAGTCAGACTTTAATTTTCAAGTCTTATGAAAAGTAAGCTTTGGCATAAGAAGGGCTAGTGAGGAAAAACCTATAGGATCGAAAATATTTTGATTGCACGGAAGTAAAATTTGTCTTTTGGGCCTTAAGTCCAAGATATTACTCAGCATCTCAATTCATCTGATGGGTGGTACCCGTGAAGACTTAATGCATTTCTGAGACCTTCATATAAATCTAAACTGCTTTTCCAACTTCTAAGGCTGAACTCTGCTGAAGGCGTGAGCTCTGTAGTTGTATGTGGTTCAATTTCAGCTCTGTAGTTTTGTGTGGTTCAATTTCTTTATTTTCTGAGACACCAGTATTCTGCACACTCAATGCAGAATGTGCATCTTCACTTTTCTGTGATATTGCTTAAATTGTTCTGGTGGATTTTCTACCAGATTATTTAGGAATACTAAAAGAAGAAATGGGAAGTAGGCAACACCAAAATCTACTGCCGTGTCTAAATTCAACAGTATTTTCTTTTTCCCACTATGAGAAATTTAGATAACTTCTATCTCCTGGGTCAGTCCCAATTTGTAGAAGGGCCTTTTCTGTATCAGAAGATAAAATGAGTGTATGAATTCTAACATTAGTAAAAACTATTGGGATTAAATTTATAAAAGTTGGCCATCCCAGTTTCCAGACAGTCATTCACAGAAGATCCGTTTCCATCTTTGTTTGATGCTTCATAGTTTTCTCAATTTCTTCAGTGTATTCCGATGTCTTTTTTTTAGTAGCATTACACTTAGAATGTAAGGAGGGGAAACCATCAATCCATGGGGGAAGACTTATTTTGTAGTATGATCGGTATCTTCATTTCGTTTAATGTTTTGGTAGAAGTCATTGAAAAAAGCAAACTGGAAAATACAGAAGTTGGGTACTACCTAAAAGATTCCATTCTAAAGTTGTCTTGACTACCACTATGTTCGTTTTAATAGAAACCACATGATGTGTTATAATTTTCATCCAAGCATTGGCACCTAATAATATGTGGATGTCTTTCAAATATTGGCTATCTTTTGAATAATTACATATTGCAATGCCTTTGCTTTCAAGGATTTGATAAACCTTTACATTTCAAAAATTTGGTATGTTAGTGCAAATTTAATCAGATTCAATAACATCAAATTCACTAGCAGGTCTAGAATCAATACTTATATCCAACTGTGTGTGTTCCACATAGTTTTATACACATCATGTACAATACAAAGTCCGTAATCCGGACTCATCAGGACTTTGGCGATTCCAGATTAAGGGTTTTTTCCGGTTTATAGATCATCATTTTAGATCTGGTAAGATGGCATGCAGAAATTAAACAATTAAAAATATGAAACCGTAATTTATAAATATAAAATAAAAAGCAATTATGAAAATCAAAATATATTTACAAAAATTTACAAAAAAAAAAGCTTAATATTTATTTGTTTACTTTATTAAACATTTCTTTCAATGTAAGTTGTTTAAGTTGCTTTTTTTTTTTTGTGCTAATACTTTCTCTTTAATTCTATAAACAGACATAATTTCTTGTTCAGTTCCACTGTTCAAGTCCTGTAATTACTGTGTCGAGAATACTGACTAACTTGTCAATCGAAATTTTTTCGTTTTCAATAACCTCTCTGTCACTTTCTTCACTATCGGAAACGGTACATCAAAACATGCTTTCGCTTTGTGATCCTTTGGCAGCTCCAGAATTGGAAACTCTTTTTGACATAATCGAAAGTTCAAGCGTAATTTTTATAAGATTGCTCTAACAGTCTGCAAAAAATAATAAGCCGGATCCAATTAGAAGATTAAAGAACAGCACAATCGCAAAATTAACTGAAATGCCTTGGAATCAGTAAACATAATTTTAGCCTAGCTTAGACCGTCCGTTATACATTAAAGTTCAGGTTCATTAAAGTTCATATTACAATTTTATTGAAAAACTAAGAAAGTATTTTCAATAAAAACAACTGAAATTCTTGAAAATAAAGCAATACTTAACAATGCTTTTTCACATTTAGAAGTAAATAACATTTAAAAAATTTCACCGCTAAATCAGTATGAAGTGGAAATTGAAAATGCACAAATCTTAACTGTATATGGCAATGCAGCTGTTGAAAATACGTTCTGGCTTAAATATCATTTTTAATTAATTTTTGTAGATTGGGAACAAAATTATTGTTTAACTGAAAAATAATTTTTTTATTTCAGTTGAGTTTTACATGTTGAATTAAATACAGACATGAATCTGTTCTAAGCTACGTTTCATTTATTTTATAGCTAAACACCAGAATATTTAAAAACCAGGAGGTGACATTTTTATTCTTTCAGAACAATTTTACCACCTGAACAGTGGATTTTTAAATAAAAGTAAGTTTTAATTTGAACTATGGTGTTACAGTTACATTTCTGATTTGAACTGCTCATTAAGATTATGAAACAAGGAGTATTATGATCAGTTTTTATCCGATAATATAACATACTTAGTGAATTGCTGAGCACTAAAATTACAAATAAAGCTGAAATTTTGTAAGATTTGAATCTTTGACAGTAAAATTTCAAACTTCAATTCTATAGAGGCAAGGTATATGAGGACCTGCTTTTTGAAGAAAATGTAAAAGAGGTCAAAACTGAAGAGAAATTGATAAGACAGATTAACTCTTAAATGTTACAAAATTAGAAAACAAGTTCTGTCTTTAGATATATGTGAAACTATTGAAGATTCTCATTTGTTTGATTCTAGAAAGCTTCAAGTCTTATTACCTAACTAAAGGAATATGACAGGTATTTTAAATGCTGGATAGGTTATAGAGACATTATAATAAAGATTAGGATTAGGATTTTTTGGAATCTGGAGAGATGAAAAATGAGCAAACGCTTTCACCGGGAATCGAACCACAGACATCTGGAATACCGGCCCAACGTGCAGGACCATTACACTAAGAAGGTGGGAGAAATACCTTATATACTCTCTCTTTTAAAAAGCGACTGGGGTTTTTAGGGGACCCAATCGCCAAATCCTGGGTAGGGAGATTCATCATCCACGACCCTTTTAGTTCAGGTGCCACTGTAGAGACATTAGGTTAATTGGAAAAGCCGGAGTGATGAAAAATTAGCAACCGCCTTCACCGGAATCGAACCAAGGCCCTTCAGTGGGCTGACCACTACACCACGAAGGCATGCTAGGAAGGCGGGAGAAATACCTTATATACTCCCCCTTTTAAAAGGCGACTGAGGTTTTTAGGTGACCCAATTGCCAAATCCTGGGTGAGGAGAATTCATCATCCAACACCCTTTTTGTTCAGACGCCACTGTAGAGACATCAGGTATTCTTTTTTGGAAGCAGGTACGATGAAAAATTAGGAATCTAATTACGGACCTCTGGAATACAGACCCAGCGTGCAGAACTACTACATCTCGAAGGCATGCTAGGAAAAGCGGGAGAAATACGTTATAAGGTTTTGGAGCTCAATTTTCTAAAATTCCTAATGATGACTTTGTACGGTTGATGATAAATTGATTATTTATGTCAATCATTTATGCACGAAACCAAATTAACGGGATTATAAATTATTATATTTCTTCCCCTTCTAAAAATATTATGAAAAAGCTCTTGAGCTTTTAAAATCTAGATTTGGCAAGGAAGAGTTTTTGAATGAATATTATATGTGAGACCTCTTGAATTTAGTATCTAAATGTTTAATGAAATTGAACTCTCAACTCAGTATGCTTTAATTTAGAAAATTAAGAGCATTAGACACTTTGGGTGTAACTTAAGATAAGTATGCAGGTATGCTATTCCCCTTGGTGAAATAGACACTTTCCAGAAATGATATATAAAGCTTAGGATCGCTGCCTTATTTCTAAAAATATTTCTGTCAGAATCCTTTGAATGGATTGACAGAATTACTTCACTTTTTAAAATTTGAAGTAGAAAATGAGGACAGATTAAAATTCAGATAAGATTCCTTTCACAATGAAAGGTAATTTGTAAATTAACATCAGAAATAAAGATACTCCCATAGCCTATTGCCTTAATGCCAACACATTAATGGCTAGGATGGGTATATGGTTGTGTGTTACGTGTATAGATGATTAAGATTTAAATTTTATTAGATAAAGGAACCTCATGAAACATTTCAAAAATTAGAAACGGGTGTTCTCTCACATGAATTCTCGATAAAGGTTAATTTGTTCAGACAAAATAACATACAGAAATTCCAAAAGATACAGTTTCCACGGAAGTTGTGGCTCTTGAATGCCAACGCACAGAAACTATCTGAAGAAGAAAGAGTTCAGTTTTTTCAGACAGCAAAACCACTCATTGAATCTCACAGATACCAGTTACATTAGGGAAGTGTATCATCTGAATCAAATGAAATGTGAATGACAACGCAATAAAAATTGAATCAAAGAGTTATCTGCTATTTCATCAAGTATTTGTTTTATATTTTAAAATAGCTCATCCGGCTGTTGAAAATAAAACTGTCATTGCGAAACTCGGAGGTTGTATCATGATACTATTAATAAGGTTCGATAATTACGCAATTAAACGGTGCATTACGTATGTGCATCAAAATTAACTACAACTGTGAACATTGCAAAACATTCAGAATCCGAAAGTAATTGATTCAAAAGTGGTTTGCCATACTTTGGGCATATTTAACAACGAAAGTTTACATGGGAAAAGGGGAAGAAAGAAAGGTAGTTTAGCATTTTTTAGTTTTTGATAATTTATAAAATTTTGACCATGTATTTCTGATACTAATAAAACGTTCCTTGGTAGAGTATTGTAACTGTATACTCACAGTTAAGCCTTTTGAACCAATTCTTTTTGAATCAATCTTCTTATAACATAATTTCTATACAGGTCAAATGTGGGACTCGCGATGGATTATCGATTTTCCGATTTCATTTAATTCGTAATCATCAGTTAAAATAATAAATGATTCTGAAACCGGAATTAAAAAAAAGATTTATTATTGTATCTAATAGAACTTTTTCTTAACAAAAAAAAAAAGGTTTGATAAAAAAAACTTAATAACTTTATATTTTGTTTTATACTTATGAAGAATTACAACACTGGTAAGTTAGAAAGCCGTTTGGAATATAATCTTTTTTTAAAAAAATTCCCTTTAATTCTTTAATTTGTAGCTATAAACAGATCCACCCCAATTCACTAACCCGCAGTTTTTTGCTGTCCGATACCGACTCTTGTCCAATCTTTTCAGAAATTTCATTTTCACTGTGTTGCCTTAAGAATAATAACACACATTCTATTTTCTTTGTAAACCTAACACAAGCGTTGCAATTCCAACAGTTTTTACTAAGTTCAAGTTCAAATCGAACTTTTTTTTGAACATTGGTACTTTTCTACTTTTTGTTAATCCTTTGGAGAGTCTCAAAATTAAGAAACATCACAATGCATTCAAAAATTATAACTGACCGTAATTAACGAAAAACAAAAACAAAAAAAAAAAAAAAAAAAAAAGCTTTTATTAATAAAATTGACAATCTAAAAGTGCAGAAGTGGGCTGATAAGTGCAAGGAATATCTGACAAAAATTTAAAGGCTCTAAGCCAAAACAATAAGCGGGCGGGGCCATGAAGATAAAGGAACGTGCAAATTCCGCATAGGAATTTTAGCTTACAGCATATGGCAGGTGGTTTTATGGCATATGCGCACATAGGCATCGCCGGTAATACGCCAGGGTTGTAAGTGCCTACTCGGCATGCGCAAAAGGGAAGTCCGGAAGGGTTCCGAAATACTTTTGACTGTACGAAATTAGGTCTAAATAATCAAGTTCTTTATTCTTTAATTAATTTATGTTATATGTGTATTCACTTTTCATTAAATACACACTGTTTTGAACATTTTCTAAATATTTCTTTCTCTCTTTTTTTGGGAAGTGTAAGGTGCAAGTAACTTTTTTTCTTCTTTTTTTTACTTGCACTCAAGTGTTGATTGCTAAAGTCTAAAAATTAAGAAGACACTGAATTAGAATTTTAATCTTAAACTATGGCATAATCAGATGGTATAAATGCTTGGATACTGTTTCAAATTATACAGACAGGGTTTTGAAAGTAAACAGACTTGATACACGAGAAGGTATTTAACTGAAAAATCAGATTTCTGAGATTTAGAAGTTGCATCAAAACAAAATTAGCTCTAAATTAAAACTAACTTTTTACTAAATTTAAGTTTTTTTTTCCCCCAATTGTAAATTTTACTTTTTGATTATCTTTCACTGTGCAGTTACTACTAACAAGCACTGGACACTAAGGCATAAGCATCCAGGAACTTGCGAATTCTCAAGTATTGAATAAACCTTGTAAATAGTTATAGAAGAATAAGAAGATTTCTAAATAATAAACACCATGCGGCATTCTTCTATAATCTAATGAAATGTTTTTGAAATACAAATGTTGATGTTTCTGTTAATGTTTTCAGAATTCACCACTTAAACCCTTTTTCTAGTTAAAATGATTTCAATTGTTTGCTTGTAATGTTTTCTTGATTAAAAAATATTCATTTTCAGGAGGAGAATTTCCACGTTTCCTCGAAGCAGAGCAATGGCTTTAACACCAAGACAGGCTTTTATTTTCGAAGTTCTTGGTGTAATCGTAAACTGTAGTGTTCCTCTCTTTACACTTTATTTGGCAAGTCTACGACTTATCTGGAGATCTATTCCTGATGCTTTCCTTTCATACAAAGAGATGCAACATTTACTGCTGAGATACACTGACATCAAGTCTGCGAACGATATCTGCGACGAACTCCGAAAACGTGAATTCGACAGTTTTGACATCATTCATCAACCAAGAACCCTGTTGCATTATTCTCGATATGTGTTAAGAAAAGCACTGATGCTAAATTCACAGCTGCCAGATGGGATTGAACTTCTTCGTTTGCCTGACCGATTAAAATCGTACATGAGGTTAGAATTTTAGATTCTACATAAATGAAAAGTTTTACTGTTCCAGTAAAAAAAAAAAAATCAAAGTAAAACAATCTGATTTTGTGCTTTAAAAATTCTGCATGACGTATAAAGCGATTTTATTGTAATAAAGAAACCTTCCTGAAGAATGTATCCAGAAAAATTCCTACCTTTATTTTTGCAACTTCAGGTCATATTCATATCATATTCTTCCAGTTACAAAAATGCTATAAGGACACTATTCATGTTAGAGCATTTGTAAATTAAGATAATAAGAAAAATGACAAAATCTGACTTTTTACTCTTCTTTCTTGTCACTATTGCTATATATAGTTACGTTATTGTGAACTTTCACAAAGGTACTGAAGTTTTTGTGTTGATTGCATTAAACTTGAATATTGTTACAAAATATGTTACAATATTCAAGTTTAATAATAAATAAAGATACGGAATGGGGATTCCGTATCTTTATTTGTGTGTGTTAAGTTGCCGAAACTGAAAATAGTTGAGGCAGAATACTATATAAAGATGCTTTATCACTTTTATTCTTTAACTAGCAGCTACGCAGCCTGCCTTCATCTTGCTTTTAAATGTACCAGGAAAATGTCTGAAGGGAACACCGAACATTAAATTTTAAAACTACGTAGACTTTCACTCCGCAGAACAATTTCATCATTTTTTAACATTTTATGTGTTATATTTATTAAATATCACGTCCTTCGCACTTAAACCATAAAATTCAGTTCAATAGCAATATCGCTAACTATTTTTAAAATGAGCATATCTTGAGAATTTCCAATGCAGAAACTCCCACGCGCTTGCCATTGTTCGCTTTGAAATCCTTGAGTTTGATAATCAAAAGTTCGGTAAAGTTTTGCAAAATAGGAAATCGATAATAAAACAAATTCCAAATTTCAAATATGGTCTTTCACGTACCCATATTTGTAGGAGGATTACGTCATTCAAAATTCGATGTATCTATGTACCGTTGTTTTATCACAATGCAAGAAATATACATACATTTGTGCAGATTTTTCATTATTTAATTTCTTTAACCCTTTCCGGCACGCTACCTTTTAAAGTCAGAGTTTTGATTTAGAAAAAAAAAAAAAAAAAAAGGTAGGGCAGTCTAATTAGGCCTAAAGGAGTACACAAGTAAAATTTTGTGAAGATAGCAGTTATCGTTTTAATTCCGTGGGTGTGCCTAAAGTGGCACACTGATTGAATAGAGCTTCGAAAAGACTGCTGAAACGAGCATTGTTGTCAATGAACTGATCGAGGAGATGTGGAGAAACAAAGAATACAGACTCTCAGTTGTCCTAGATTATCGGTGAGTCCGGTCTGGGCACATCTAGGCTTCGCCGTTTGATTTTAAGCAAGATTTCAAGGTAAAAATTTAAAACTAATATAGAATAAGGAGATTAGCATACAGCCAAAAAATAACATAGCAATTTCTTTTCAAACAATTCCTTTTATACCCTAAAAAAATCTAGAAGATTTCTTTGGGAAATGAGGGTCTTAAAAAACTAAACATGGCTAAAATATATGGACTGGTTTCTGTTGAGCTGCCATCTACTATAAATAAAGAAGGTTCAGAGTAACCTATAAATCCTTTTTCATTCAATTTTTTTGTGCGTACAGAAGGAAATTTTTAGGTGTGTCCAGACCGGACACACTGTGCCGCAAAGGGTTAAATATAACACAGAGCGATAATACTTTATGGCAATAGTTTGAAAAGTGGTTTGCCGTTTGTAGTAAATCGACGCAAAATCACAAAACGAAAACAATAGTCCTTCAGGGACAAAGCCTCTTTGGACAACACTTAAAAATCTTAAAGGTTCAGATTTTAAATTACGTTCAAAAAAACATTTTTTTTAACATTTTATGTGTTATATTTATTTATTAAATATCACGTTCTTCACACTCAGATCAACAGCAATATCGCAAAATAGTTTTAAAATGAGCATATCTTTAGAATTTCCGGATACAGAGACCCTTGCGCTGAAAATAAAAATGTTTTTTCTGTACAACATTGCTATTGCTTACTTTGAAATCCTTGAGTTTGTTAATCAAAATTTCTTTAAAGTTTAAAAAATATCGATAATAAAACAATGGAATGATAATAAAACATTGGAAATAATATGGAATCGATAATAAAACAAATTTCAAATTTGGGCTTCCACATGGTCATATTATATCATTCAAAATTCGATGGCTTTATGTACCGTTGTTTTATCACAATGCGAGAAATATACATACATTTGTGCAGATTTTTTATTACTTAATTTCTTCAAATATAATGCAGGCTTCTAATATTTGGTGGCAACAGTTTGAAAAGTGAAACAGACATTTATAGTGAATCAACGCAAAATCGCAAAATGAAAACAATAGTACTTCAGGGACAGAGCTCCTTTGGACTAACCAAAAAAAATATTTCTCAATTTCGAGGGCAAAAGTGTCCCCCTTCATCAGAAGCAAAAAATTCTGCCAAAAGAATTTTTTGCAGAACCCGATTTGCCCTCGAAATCGGTTGGGACTTTACAAAATCTACACCGAATGCGAGGTTGTCAATTTGCCTGTATTATTTTCCACGTTGGCGTGTTTCTCTTTTTTGCATCTTAATTTCACCACTCTTCATATTGATGCTGTCTGCAATCTTTCCATACACAACCAATGATATTAGAACGTGTGCCAAAAGAAAAAGCCGTTGGCTTAAAAATGCACAGTCTGCCACATGTGAGGTCTAATTCACCTGTATTGGATTTCCATATACCTGCTCCCCGAGAAAGAGATAACGTTTATTGGCGCCAATCTACAGCTATAACTAATAAAGAACTTCCGCTTTTAACACTTTACCGATTGAAAGCTGTCTGTGCTTACTATCTCCGTCGATTTATGTTTTGTAGAACAAAAATAGAGAGAGTAAAAAGATCACCAGTCCTTTGAAAAAAAGGAAGAGAAAAAGTAATATTTAAACAAAGTTAGAAAAGGAGATGGATGTATAATATATAAATATTTCTTTTAATTTGCCTCGGACCGGCAAAAGCCCGCGGCCTGTAGTTGGCCCATCCCTGTTCTAAGGTCTTCATGCAAATTAAAATTGCTGTGGTTTTATTTTAGCCCCTGCTTATTAATAAATCAGTAAATAAAATAGAAACAAATATTGGATTTACACAGAACATTTACAGAAAGGTTTCTGAACTGTTATGATATGTTGTCTTTTTCAAATTAGATATTTTTCATAAGGGTTCCAGCACCTTTAAAAAAGTTTGCCTTTTTGAACTGAAGCCAACCTGTATAACAGTGTGGGCTCTTAAAAAGGCCTATCCTGTTGACACCTTCCAGGTGTTAGACAGGAACCTGAAAAATCAGACTTTCATTAAGTAATACCAGAAAAACTAACAATATCAATTTAAATATTACTAATAATAATTCAATAATTTGTTGTAACCCTATTTTTCAACCCTGATTTTCAACCCTGATAAACTGACAAATCATAAAGTCAGGAAAAAGAAATTGGGACCACATCCAAATATAGTTGTAAATGTTGAAGAGTGCCCTATCTCAGTGACTGATTATTCGAGATCAGATCTACAGACAACAGGAATATGAAGTATATGGAGGAGCCAATCCTTTTTGTTCTGTAAACTGTTGTTTGAAAAATGATTTTTGTAGCGTTTCGGAATTATATTTTTGTAGATTTAAATTTGTTTGCATAGTGTGTTTTGGTTAGAATCAAATGTTTCAGTATTAGCATTTTGTAAACTAAAAAGGTACTTTGTGTAGATTCAAATTTAAATCTTTTTGTTGTATTTTTGCATTTATGTTATCTAGAAATAAGTGCAGGGTAATATAACTGGCTTCTCTATTATCACTTAAATGGTTACCACTTGTGTTTTGAAAGCAGTGAAATGTATTTAGAATTTTTCCATCCATAGTCAAGAAAAATTTCTTTATGAGGGGAGGAGTTGTGATAAGGTCACATAAAGAAGAGAGACTGAAGATTAATATGTACAAGGATGTCTCGTGAGAATAAGATGAAAATTATTATTTTTTACTTACAACACGTTTTCAATAGTTGTTAAAATGTCTTTATTAAATAATTAAATCGTTGGCAATGTTAAGAACGCAAGCTCGAGCTCTCGCACGTAAAATGTATAGAATTTGATTCTTGAAGGAGATAGGTTTTTCTCTGCAGAATTGTATGTAGCCATTTTTTTTTTTTTTTTAGCATTCAATAAATTTTATTATGCTGTGTTTTGTTTTCAACCTGATGTCACAACCCAGGGTTTGCATAGTGGTTTCGGACACTACACCACAATGCCTAAAATCGGTTGTAAACTGCGCTATGTAATCAAGATGATGCATTTGCCTGGTAGAAGCCTTTGTCAGGCTTCTGTCGAAAAGCAAAAATTAGCGGCTTGTGTTCGGTATAGATAGAAAACACACGACCTTCTACCATATGACGAAAATGTTTAACAGCCTCATACGCACTAAGAAGTTCGCGGTCGTACGTGCTGTATTTTGATTGCGCAGCAGAAAATTTTTTCGAGAAGAAAGCCAGAGGCTTCCATGCTCCGTCTACCAGTTGCTGCAAAACCGCACCCATGGCCGTATTAGACGCGTCAACCATTAATGCTAAAGGGTGCTTAGAAGGATAGCTAAGAGCTGTTGCCGACGCTAAGTCATTCTTACATTGTACAAAGGCTGTACGGGCATCATCAGACCAAATAATTGGCCGCGTATCTTTCTTTTTACTCCCAACCAAATATGTGTGCAAAGGTGCCTGCTTTTCAGCGGCATGAGGAAGAAAGCGACGATAAAAATTTAACATGGCCAGAAAACGACGCAGCTCCTGAACAGTTTTTTGGCTCTGGGAAATTTTGAATTGCAGTGACTCTGTCACTAAGTGGGCGAACGCCCTCCGAAGAAACTTCGTGACCAAGAAATGACACTTTAGATTTCCCGAAAACACATTTTGATGGATTAATGACTACACCATAAGACTGAAATCGGCCAAGGACTATGCAAAGGTGTTCAAGATGCTGGTTTTTCAGTTGTCGAGGCTACCAGAATGTCATCGAAATATGGGACACAAAAATCTAAATCTCGAAGGACTTAATTAATGAAGCGCTGAAACGTTTGCGCAGCGTTACATAACCCAAAAGTCATGATAGAAAATTCGAATAATCCAAAAGCTGTGATGACAGCAGTTTTTGGTATATCAGGTGGATTGACAGGGATCTGATGGTAAGCACGAGTCAAATCTAACGTAGAAAAAATATTTGTGCCTTCCAAGACTTGCATGCAGTCCTGAATATGAGGAACGGGATATCTATCAGGCAAAGTAACTGAATTAAGACGTCGATAATCCCTACAAGGACGCCAGTCGCCGTTTTTCTTAGGGACCATGTGGAGTGGACTGGCCCATGAACTGGTCGACAGATTCCTTGCTCAAGCATGTATTTAAATTCTTCTTTTGCAGCCTTTAATTTCTCTCGAGGCAACCGCCGTGCTTTAGCAAAGATTGGTGGTCCAGTAGTCTCTATGACGTGTACAATACCGTGGTCAGCAGTCGGTTTGCCAGTTACTGAGCGGATGACGTTAGGGTATTGCTCAAGTAGTTTGTGGAAAGGAGAATTACCGGAAATTAATTTAATTCCAAAATTAGTGGCATTTCCAATACTACCTACCGCGGACAATTGTGTAATGGAGTCGATTTTTAATGTCATTCAAAAGAGAAATTTTTTGCAGAAAGTCTGCACCAATTATTGGTTGCGAAACCACAGCGATGACAAATGGCCATTGAAATTTGTGACGTAATCCTAGATCCGAAGACATTAATACTTTTTCTCCATATGTTGCAATTTTTGACCTGTTAGCTGCAAATAAGTTAAATTTTCCAGGCGGCCGTTTGGATTCGGCAAAAGAGGGAGGTGATAGGTGAGAGCAGGTCCGGACACCCAGACGGCTTACATAGACTAGTCGGGTATCGTCCGGATCCCGCCACTATCTGAAGCTACACTACGAAAACAATACAAGGGCAAAATATAGATTTTTCTGCATGCGAAATTAAACATTTTCCTGGCTACGTCGCATGTTAACACACTGCTACACATACTCGCTACAATAAACATTTCATGGTATGCATTGCGTTGATCATTGCACTGTACTTAAGGCACATTTCCAACTCAATGCTACACTTAATACACTGTATATACTTTGCAACATATTACGCTGAACATTATTCTTGACAATTCAACATATATTCTGAACAATGTAATTGTTTAAATAAGACATAACTGGATTATATAGTACATAACTTCATTATATAAGACAGACTTAAATAAATAACTTGATACAACAGATAAATAAATTAAGAGCTCTTAAATAAAGAGCAAAATTGTGCATTACAAACAAATTACACATATTGCACACAGAAATCCTCTGTTTACTTTGTGCTGTACTTATAATATACATAATACAGATTTAAGGACACAGTACAGCCCATATTACTTTTGATTAAATAACATGTTAAAAGTTAACTGTGGCATACATTTTGCTGTATTCTTAAAACATACCAAAAATAACTTTGTAGTTAAACGTTCTGCTGGTTACATTGCACCTTAACGTACTGCTATATATAAAACACTCAATACACTAAATTTTTTATAATACATATTACATTGAACACTGCACTATATTTAGAACACCTTACAAAACTCATTTCAAAACTTATTTCACTGTGTGTATTGGCTACATATTACATTGAACATTACTCTTGATTAAATAATATAGGCAGTGGTAGTAACTCTTTGTTATATACAACATAATTCTTAATACAAAAAGCTTATAAAAAACACTGTTAGAAATACACATTGAGGGAAACAAATTACAGATTAAATTAATTTCAGTTAAAAAATTACATGTGCTAGATACATTAAATACCGTATTTACCATGCACTATACATTTCATAATATGCATGTTAACACACTGCTATGTACGAGTATAAATCACTCAATGCACTAAAATTTACAGAATGCAATAATATTTACATACATATAACTACTATAATATTTACAATCTGTGCTCTTGAATACATTAAGTTGCAGCACTACAGTTATAATTATTATGCTTCCTGCGGCTCAAAGCATAGCTCTGCATGCTACGAGCACTTACACATTTTACCAAGGTACTATACACAGTGTGCTGTATAATACATTATTCACAATACGCTGCACAGTATTCTGTTTATAAAATGCACATGCATTAATATGCTCATTACAAATATACATAAACTATTTACATTTGGATAATATTAAATCATATTTACATTTGTTTTTCGTGTTACCAGCCTAATGTTACTCTGCGTACTGACTCAAGATGGCCTTCTTGCAGAGACCACTGGAAACCAGTGTGCTTTGAATCTCTGCGAAATTTAAGTCTGTTATTGTGGGCTGCATAATTCTAGTCCTAGTACTTCAAGTTTGTTCATAATGCTTTTGAGCTTCTTGAGATAGGCTGGCTGCTTAATGAAGAAGCGTTTATAAGCAATGTCAGTATCAGGAAGCCTCATGTGCCATTCTTCCGTGAGAGGGCAAGAACTAACGTAATGATCAGGTGTACCTACTTCATTACAGACACAATGATCAGTTGTTGATATTCCCTGAAGCCAAACTGCGCCTCTGAGATGTGGCCAGACAAAGGATGCTTGATCCTGAGTATTGTCAGCTTTTCATAAATTTTGCCTAAAGCCGAAAGAAGACAGATGGGGTGAAAGGAAGAAGGATCTTCTTTGTCTCTTCCGGATTTCTGAAATAGGACCACTTGCCCGATCTTAAATGACTTAGGAAAATATTGCAAAGAGAGGAGCTTATTGAAGTAGGTGACAAGAAATTTCGGATTCGCTCTGTGCACCGCTCTAATGATATCGTAATCTAAAGAATCGGGACCTGGAGCTTTCTTCTTCGGCAGATTTCGCATAATTGCATTTACTTCTGAATCGGTATAAGGTACATCATTTGGAGTGCCTGATATAAGTGAGAACGCCGGATGCAATTGCAAGTCTGATGGAAAAACCGCATCTAGGATTCTTCTTATGGTTGCTTCCATAATACCTGACTCTCCATAGGCATGACCATGAAAAGTGTGATGTAGAGTCGGTTTAAAAACTTTTTCGCTGGCTATTTGGTGCAGAATCCCATAGGTATCTCTATGATCAGTGCAGAATTTTTTCCAGCTTTCAAGTTTGGCCCGTAATATGGCCTTTTTATACTTGGCCTGCGCTTTATTATATTCTATGGATAGTAATTGTCTAGCTTCCTGATCTCTTTCTGCTGCTTTCATGCGCCTGCGCATAGCTCTGGTACGGCTACGCTGTGTTCTGAGGTCCCTGGTCCACCAGTTTGCAGCGTGTAGCATTTTGGGGGTTTTCAGCGCAAAGGTGCTGTCACAGATAATTTGGAGGTCACTGATCAAATTATTGGTCAATTCTTCCGCGTCTTTGACTGTTATGGTGTTTGGCAGCTCCATTAATAATCTATTTAGGATTGGACGTGCTTTCCTAGAAAATTGAGTAGTTTTACTTCTGGTAAGCTTATAGCGCTTCATTACTAGCCTTTCATGCTGTTGGTTTATACTGTAGGTAATGTACCTATGATCTGAGTTGGTAATGGAATCCTCAACTGTCCAATTTTTTATCTTTGGGGTCAGGGCTGCAGATGAGAGCGTTAAATCCGGCCACCCTTTGCCATTAACGGTTTCAAACGTAGGCAGGCATTCAGGCTCATTATGAATGGATAGATCATTACTTGCCACAAAGTCTTCTACTGCACGTCCTCTCAGATCCGTATGTGGATATCCCCAGGTTTCAGAATGCGCATTAAAGTCCCCCGCAAGAAGGTGCTGTTCGTTGGGGTAATCAGCCAGAATTCTTTGTTGTAGATCTAGTGATTCAGAAATGTCTGCCGTGGGAGGGATGTAGATGTTAGTAACTAGTATTCTAAGATTTTTTGCCTCAATCGCCATTGTTACTGCATCTCTGGTAGCTTTGATGATAGTGGGTGCCCATTTTTGATTACAGCAAATAGTAGCCACCCTTGGGCCTTCTCCATCATGTGACTGGATGATGGGCCACATTAGAGGGAGGCCAGCTACATTGTTTGCTTGCAGGTACGGCTCCTGAGCAAGAATAAAGTCTACTTCCGCTTCCATCGCTTGTTGCACCAGCTGGGCCATTGCGGCTCTGGCTCTTTGTAAATTTATCTGGAGTATCTTAATCTCAGCGTGCTCGAAGATGTTTGTATTTATTGGCATAAAAGGAAAATTGCTTTCGTGAGTTATGGAAGATGTGGGTTCCTGAGATATACGTCCAGGATTCTTATCTGATGCTCTGTTGCCTGAGTACGTGTCAGTCTTCTGGATTGCCAAGGAATTGAGCTCAGTGACAACTGTTCGTTTCCCCGTTACTGCCTTAGTACTCTGTAATACTGCGGACGTAACGAATGCTCCGCTGGAATTCAGGGCAGCTTGGATGATATGCTGGGTGCCTGTAGTCGTGATGGGAGCCGTATTTGTGATTGGCCTCTCCACAGTTGATACATTCTGCACTATTGGTCATGCACTCTGTTGTTGCATGATTTACCCCGCAGTATCCACAGTAATATCTTTTACTCTGGCAGACTTCTTGGGTGTGGCCATATAGCTGGCACCTGAAACACCGCACGATACCGAGGTATTCTTTAATACCATGCGCTGTCCCAAAAGGGAGACACGAATGTCAGCACGTTCACAGAAAAGCCCGATGGTATCTGTTAAACATCGCATGCCTCCGTTGTCACTCATGGCTTCGGTACGGCCCTTTCAGTTAAAGAGTCTTCTGAAATTTGCATGGAGGTGTACACTTGCTCGCTTTATCACCGAATCGGCTGTGATAGAAACAAATGTCTGATTGAGTACCAGAATGAGCGCGTTGGTATTCCCTATTATTTCGGTTCCAGGACTTTGATCTACCGCCCTGGACGATACTGAGATCGTGTCTGTAAGGCTGCGACCTGTAATGATAATTCCTGGATTTGTTTGTTGAAGAGAGAAATATCAACACTGGGATGCTCAACTTGACTGATTGCTTGTGGTTGGAGAACATCATGAATTTTGGTCTGCCATTTGGGCCAGTTGGGGTAGGTTCTCGTTACTGGAGGCAAGAATAGCTTGGATATTGTTCGGGAGACGATTAAACCACAATGATTGTAAAACATTGTCACCCGCAAGCTCCTGCATTTTTGACAATAACTGGGATGGGTGCATATCACCAAGTTGCAAATCTTGTAATAACTGCTTTAGTTTGGTGTTTTCAGACTCCTCATAAACTGAAATTAATTTATTTTTCAATTCCTCATATTTATTATCCGAGGGGGGTTTCAGAACAATCTCGCGTACTGACAGAAGAACCTCAGTGTCGAGGGCGGAAATCGCAGTATAAAATTTCGTGTTGTCGCGTGTTATACCCCTGAGCTTGAATTGTGCATCTAATTGAAAAAACCAAAGGTTGGGGTCACTACGGCAAAATGGGGCAGGTTTCACAGCAAAGCGAGCCATTTGTTTGTCATCAGTGGCTAGAGGATCGCTAGTAGCCATAATAATATATGAAGAAATACAGATAAAAACAAAAAAAGATATAGTTCAAGAATACTGTTGCAAGTACACGTGAAGAAAACACGAAAAAAATTAATTGTTAGGACCTGGGTTCTAATGATCTAGAACATGAGAAATATAGGAAAAAACTCACCCGCTTGACGAATACATACGAATCCCTGTGCGGAATAAAAGGTAGAAAATATCACCTTAATGTACAGAAATTATCCACTCATTGATGTGGGAACATTATCACTAATGGAAGATGAAGGTAATCCGCATGTCTGAAAGATGATCACAAGTGGAAACATGAAGGTAATCCACGTGGCTGTAATATGATGAAACTGATTCACTATCCAATAGACACGATCAGTAATCCAATACACAAAAGTAAAAACTATTGGTTCAGCTACATTTCGCACATTATTACAAGGTCTTGTTTAAGCACAAAATTTCTGCTGTACTATAAATTTCGACGATTCATTTGGCTTAAGCCTCACCGTCCTGAAGTCACCATTTGTTGCACGTGGTTGCGGCTGTGTGCAACAACAAACTATGAGTATTGGAATTTGCCAGTGCTTTTAAGGATGAATTCATAACATGCCATAAGAGCCAATTTTTATATAACAAAAACATTTAATCACATTACAATATTAAAACTTAATTAGTGCAGTTGACAGACAATCACGTTGGAGGAAAGCGAGCGACCAACCGCACCGACGACGAGACGTGACTGTGTGTCGCCGAAATCACCTTCGGTTACAGTTAGTGATAACGGCGCTCGGTTGGCGAGTACAACACAAGTTTACAGAGTCGCCACAATCTCAATGTAATTATTATTTTTCGCGTATTGTCTTGCCATACGCCTAATTGCTGGTTTGTACGGATATAATTACTATCACGTGTTAAGTAATATTTTTAAGAGTGATTAATTTTATTTTTAAAAATTTAATCAAATTTTTAATTCGCTTCAGGTGATTGTCAGGAGCCTGGCGTGCTATCCGCCTGTGCATCTGTCTGTTGAGAAAGCCATCGAGCTAGAACTCAATTCCAGGTTACAGGACTCCTACATGCAGTTGGATTTGGTTAGGTTACATTTTGACCATGGAGAGGCTAATTGATTTCTACAACACACAGATTCAGGAATTAGAAAATACAAGAGACAGTAATGGATCTCTTTCGCAAATTGAGGGGAAATTTTACTCCTTTTTACGCAGTTCACTTGATATGATTAGAGCGCTTAATGCAGAACATCAAAAAACAAATCAGGAAACATGTGCCAAAGCTCAGATACAGGGTACAAGTAAGTCATTCACTGATAATGATCGAGGCAGGAGCCCCATTAATTTACGAGATGACTCTGCAACTAGCACAGATGATGATAGAAATAGGCGTCGAGGGGATCAGACGGTGAGAACTAGAAGTCAGGGGCCCATGTGCTAAGAAAATCAAACTTAGCACACAAACTCAAATCATCTCACCAGTCTTATGACAAAACCTATGCTATTATAGCGTCGGATACAAATGCTAATGTCAGGACTGCACAAACTCCCAGTGCAGAAGCGGATAATCCGCAAATGGATACGAGTAATGATGATAACGAACAAACTGCTTCTCAGGCTACTAATAATGATGAACCTTTCAAATCCAATAAATTACCACCCATAATTCTAAAAGAGAATAAACTCAGTTATAGTAAACTGAAAAAATTATTTCGGCAACACAAATTTGAATTCACTGGACAAAATATTCAGGATGGAGTGTTAAAGTTATTGCAGGTAATGAAGACAGCAATCGTGGCATAGTTAAGCTGCTCAAAAAGTTAGAAGTTGAGCATCATTCGTATGTGCTACCCCGGGATAAAAACCTAAAGGTTGTTTTAAAAGGTTTATTACGTACGACTGAAACTGAGGAAATCAGGGAAGACCTCGAAAGTTTAAACTACAAAGTCATGGACATAAAACAAATGACCAGGCGCAGAAATGGTGAGTTGACGAAACATTCTCTCTTACTTGTTACGCTTCCCAAGACGGAAGCTTCTAAGAGCATATATAATATTAAATACCTATGCGATTTAAAAATGAGTGTCGTTGAATATAAAGGTCGTCAAGGCCCTTTACAATGTTTTAGATGTCAGGGCTTCAACCACACTCAGGCTGGTTGTAACTACCCTCCTAAATGTGTGCGTTGTGCCTAGAATCACAACTCTAATGACTGCCCGGCCCAAAAACAATAAGGATAAGCCGCTTCTTTGTGTAAATTGCGGTGAAGCGCACACCGCAAGTTTTAAAGGTTGCAGTAAATTTCCCAGGAAAAAAAAAGAGGATAAGCCAAAACTCTTTTCTAGCAGAATTATAGAAGGCAAATCTTTTCACAGGCCTTATCCTCAGGTGTCTATTCAGACACAACAACTGAAGCTAAAAAGATTTTTGCAGACTTAGCCGAATTAGTTATGGTTATAAAAAGCGCAGGCTCTCTACAAATTACCCAACAAATGAGAGAACTAAATAGCAACAATCAGTACAAATCTTCTAATAATACTGCTGATAATGGGTCATAACTCTAGTGATGATAAGAAATGCTAGAAGCATTCAGCACAAAATTCAGGAACTTCAAAATTTTCTCATTACGAATCAGATTGATATCGCTCTCGTATCCGAGACACATGCTAATCCAGGCATTAGTATGAAAATTGCTAATTATCGATGCGATAAGTTAAGTTACAAAGGTGGAGGGACTGCAATTTTCGTTAAAAATACGCTGCAATCCTGCTACATTAATGAAGATAAAAGGAATGGCCATGAATTTATAACAGTTTCTGTTCTTCTACCAATGTACGGAATTGTTTATTTCGGTTCTATGTACAACCCCCCCCAACAGAATATTTTAACCCCTTAACTGCCGCGGGCGTATATATACGCCTTGCTCAGCCGATGCGTTAACTGCCCCCCAGATGCGCAGCCGATGCGTTAACTTTGCGAATAATTTTAGGTGTAGCAGCGCAAAGCAAATGATAGCAGTTGGAAGGACGTATATATACGCCTGGGGCAGTTAACGCATCGGCTGAGCAAGGCGTATATATACGCCCGCGGCAGTTAAGGGGTTAAATGAGAATATACATGCAGACCTGCTACATACGGATAAGCCAATCATATTGGCCGGTGACTTAAATGCAAAGAACAACGAATGAAGTTGCAGAGTTCCCAACTCTCCCGATTTTCGACCACTCTCCCGCCAACCCGATTTACAATATATTTCTCCCGACTTTTTCTTATTCTTAAAATTTCTCACGATTTTTATGGAACTTGGCTTACTACTTCGTTATATGAACAAACAAAAAAGTGATTTTGGACGTCTGAAAGCAATTGAATTTTCTCTAGATTATATCTAAAACAAAACCTTGCGAATCAGGGTGAGAATTTCTTCTTTGTGAGTGAGAGCATACGTATCCAGAAACGTCGATCTCCAGTTTTCCAACGGGCATCGAGCTCCACTGCGTGTCATCTGGCATATATTAGCCAATGAGCACAAAGCAAGCGCAAGGCTGTTACAAAGAATACATGTATTGACGTTCTTTGGCTGTTATTTGGATGTTCTTTAGTTATTTCGTTCATCTTGTCCTGAGTTGTGTGAGTACACGTGCGTTCGGAAATAATTTTAGAAATTATCATATCAGTCTGCGAGAAAGGTTAAATACTCGTGTACGTTTCAAAAATCGTACACAGTTGACTTTCCTTCTATTATTTCCTCAAGGAAATGTAATAAATTTGCGATGTGTACCGTCTGTCGTTGCGATATTTCGATTTCGCATGGTGGAAGGGCGGATGTTCTCAAACATGTGCGTACACAAAAACACAAGGACAACATAAGTTGTTTTGAAAAAACGAAAAATTAAATTTTTTTTCGGAAACAAAGGACAAAAAAGTTATTAATGCAGAATGTCTGTTCTCTGCCTTTTTACTGGAGCGCAACCTGCCACTGAATGCATCGGATCACGCTGCAGCTTTATTTAGAACTGCGTGTCATCTGGCATATATTAGCCAATGAGCTGATTAATAGATAATGTTTGCCGATTGTGAAATCTTCAAGAAATACTCAAGCGCAAGGACCAAAACAGGTAGAATTGTTAAAGAAATGGGTTTGAAAAATAAATCTTCAGTTATTGATTGCATTAAAACAGCTCTGTTCTTCCTCTCTACGGATAGAAGCAATAATACCGATTCAAAACTGTATCCAATTGCTGTTTCTTTTTTTAATCCAGAGTCTTCAGAAATTGAGTGCAGTTTACTTTCTGTCCCCACTTTAGAAGGACATTCAAAGGCTTTAATATAGCACAGCTAATTATTAAAACTTTAAAAGAAAATGCAGTTCCTCTGGATAATTGCTTAGCACTTGGTGCTGATAAGGCACCAGTAATGGTAGGCTTGAAGACTGGTGTTGCAGGCATCTTAAGAAAGGAAAATTCAGATTTGCAGATTATGAGGTGCACCTGTCACCTCTTAAATTTAGCAGCTGAAAAAAGGGGCAGCTTCTTTACCAATAAATGTGGATGAACACATTGTTGATATTTATTATTATCTTGAAAGGAGTTCTAAAAGGAAGGAAAAATTGAAAAGTTCTCAACAGCTGCATAATACTGAAATGAGAAAAATTTTGAAACGTGTATACACGCTGGCTGTCTTTAAAAAAATGCTTATCTAGAATCCTCGATCAATGGAACCCACTTCTCTTGCATTTTTGAAAGAAGTAAATGCTTCGAGAGTTAAGATAAAAGGTTCTATTGAAAGTTATGAAATACCTAAAGTAAATGGAGATGTAGTTACTGCTTCCATTGTTAAAAATAGGTTTGATAAAAATAAAGTAATTTCTGCACCATTCAGCAATTCAACTGGCAGTTCTCAAAATAATACTGCAAAATATAAGCGTAAAGCTGATACAAATTGCTCTCAAAATAAAAAAATTGCTCAACACACAAAACATTTTCTGATTACTGTAAGTTTATC